GGTCCGGAATACTCTTATTCCTTACAAAGTTCTAGAATCTAGGTGAGACTGCCCGGTCAAGTAGGATCCAGGTCTGAGGAGAGCAGGGGCTTCTGGCCCTGACCTGGGTGGTGGGCAAGAAACTCAGAAAAGGTGGAGTCAGACCTCCAAAGAGGTTGGTTGGGTGTGGAGCAGAGAACAAGAGCAGAGAACGAGTCCCTGGGGGTTACCAAAGCCACTGCCAGGGTCAAAGGATCTGCTGATCAGCTCTTTCAGGAATCCTCTCCCCCACTGTCCCTAGAGAGACTGGATCCCTTAACTGTCTCTGACAGAAACGCATGTTCTCTGGGTGAGTCACTCTCTAGTGCAGATTCTCCGAATAGGGGCCGACTCCTCCCTCTCCCCGACCCTTGGGATAGTGGGAAGGGGTATTCAGGTGTCTATCCCATTTCCCTTCTCTCCCTATGAGAGGCCAGCTAGGGAACAGCCTCGGCCAAGGGGAGACATGAGAGTCACTCTACAGCCCTTCGCACCTGCGCGCTGCAGCATCTCCTTCCCGTTCTCCAGGTACCTGCGAAGCCACTCCACACACATGACCTCCAAGTAGGCCTTCATATTCTCGGCCTCCCGGGCCTCCTCCCACTTGCGCTGGGTGATCTGAGCAGCCGTGTCCGCCGCCGTCCAGGTGCGCAGGTCCTCGTTCAGGGCGATGTAGTCGGCGCCATCATAAGCCCACTGATCGTACCCGCGGAGGAGGCGCCCGTCCGGCCCCACTTCACAGCCAAAGATCTCCTGGAGGGTGTGAGACCCTGGCCCCGCCCCCGAGGTCAGCCCCGCCCCCGAGGTCAGCCCCGCCCCCCGAGGTCAGCCCCGCCCCTACCCAGACCGGCCGGGACTGGGCAGAGCCGGTTCGGTTCTAAACTAAAAACGAAACCAGAGGGAACCCCCGCGGCTCTTCCCTGGGTCCAAAGGCTGGGCAGGTCCGGCGGCCTCGGGGTGAAGTTCGGACCCGGAGACTCGGGGCGACCCGTCCGTGGGGACGAGGGGACCCTGACCTCCGACCCGGGCCAGCGTCACTCACCGGCGTCGCTCTGGTTGTAGTAGCCGAGCGCGGTCCGCAGGTTCCGTCGGAAAGTCTGTGCGGTGCCCTGGACGTTCCGTGTGCTCAGGTCCCAATACTCCGGCCCCTCCCGCTCAACCCACGGCGCCCGCGGCTCAATCCTCGGATTCGCGGCGTCGCTGTCGAACCGCACGAACTGCGTGTCGTCCACGTAGCCGACGGCGATGAAGCGGGGCTCCCCGCGGCCGGGCCGGGACACGCCGGTGTAGAAATACCTCAGGGAGTGGGAGCCTGCGGGCGGGGAGCGGCTGAGACCACCGACCCCCCTTCCCGCGCGGCGCCCGGGTCTGGGGTCGATGGGGGCGGGGAGGGGAGGGGGGCTCGTGGCCGGAGACGGGGCGGCGGGAGGAGCAGGGCCGGGACGTCAGGGGGGGAGGGAAGGGGGCGGGGGATGGTGGTTGAACGGGGGGAGGGGAGAGGTGTCTGAGCGGGGGCAGCAGGGACGCGGCTTCCCCGAGGGTCCTGCGTCCCCCCGACGGTCCCCTCGCTCCTCCCTCCGCAGAGACCGCTTCCCTCCCAACCCCGCACTCACCTGCCCGGGTCTGGGTCACGGCCAGGGCCCCCGAGAGCAGGAGCAGAAGGATCTGGGACGCCATGACCCTGAACACTGGATTCTGGGGAGACAGTTCTGGCAGGTTCTTGCGGACCTTACAGCCAGGAACCGAGGAGACACTGATTGGCTACTGCAGAAACCAGACACTCAATGGGAGTGAGAACTGGCGTCTCGTCATGTGTGTCCGGGCAAAAAGAAGTGATACAGGTTGTGAGAGGGAGAAAGCGAAACGCCCGGGAGATGGGGAATCCCCAGCGCCGGGCTTTCTCACTGCGGACACCGCCCTCCGGGCCTGAGAGCCAAGCCCGGGTATTAGGACTTTGTCCTGACCCCTCTTCGCCTATACCGACCACTCTTTGTCACACTGGCTCCCTGAGTCCTACCCTAGGCTGTCTGAGGACACCGGGGAGAGACCCCCAGGCCGGGGCCAGGCCTTTTCTTCCTCCTCCCTTCTTGGAATGCCTTTCGCTGAACTGGACTCCCTACCTCCCACCCCTTTCTTCTCCCCACTGGTCTCCTCTAGAACAAAATTCACCCTCAAAGAACTGAATGCCAGAGAGTGAGCTCACCTTAGGAATGGGGTGGAAGGACCAGGGTAGCCTCTTTAAACCTAGAAGTGGTTGTGTCTGAAGACACCACATAGATATTCCCATAGAGACGAGTTTCTTTTGTATTAACGGCAGTGAGTAGCTCAACTTTGATAACCCCAAACCATCAGGAATCTAATCTGTAAGAGTAGTGATTTTGTCCATTTTTGTATAAATGTGTCTGAAAGGCTCTGCAGTCAGGCTCACAAAGTTGCGAAGTTTCATTTTCCCAAACAATGTATCTATCCCTCCTGGGTTAGTGTGTATTAAAATTGTCTTCATTTCATAGCCCTGAGTTCATCTGAGTCCCACACCTATCTTCAATACAAAGAAGCTCATGAAAGTATAGTTTGTACTGTATGTTTTAACCAGAAGAGTATAGGAACTTTAACCTCCTCAAAGTTGCAAGCATTTAGTACAGTCAAAAAGGCTTTCACCAGTGCACACACACTGACTGTGTGTATGAATTCTTAACATCTAAAGGATATAACGGAAAGGTTGGCAATTTGAGCCCACCCAGGGGCACTGGGGAAGAAAAGGCCTGTTGATCTGTTTCGCTTAAGATTTCAGCCAAGAAAACCTATGGAGCAGTTCTACTCTGTAACATATGGGGTTTGGCATGAGTCAGCACAAGAAGACAACAAGGATGTCTGTTTTTTATTGGGTCACTTGGTGTTGGTATTTTCTTTAACCTGGTTAACATGAGGAGGCAATTCATTTTTAGGTAATCCCACAGAGTGTATTAAACATCAAATGCAAAGAATACCCATCAAGATAATTACATATATACATTGATTAAAAATCTATAAAACTACATACTTGAAATTTTCTCCGCTTATAATTCTTTATTTCTGCTTCTTTCCTAACATCCTGCTTCTCCAGCTCCTCTCTCTGTCTGTCTCCTTCCTCAGGCCCTCTTCTCGCCTTGGTCTCCACCACCCTCTCACTCTTGAACTGCAGCACTAGCGCCACCCCTCCCTGCCCCACACAGACTAGTCTCCCTATAGTGGTCAGCCATCCTGCTAAGGTAGGTCAAATTGTGCCATTAATTCACTTAAAAGGCTCTAGTGGCTCCCGTGTCATTCATGTAAAAACTCTAGAATGCAAGTTCCATGAACACAGCAGGTTTGGGCTGTTTTGTTCAGAGTATGTAGAGCCTGCCTATACATAGTAGGCATTAAAGTAATTTTTGGATGAATGAATGAATGACAAATATGATTGTAGAAGATTTTATTTGCATCACATAAAAATCACAAAATGGAAAATACAAGAACAGAAATTAGGAAAGATTTGATTTTATGCAGCTAGTGTGCATGACAGTTGATAACTTCATTCAGTGGAGGAAATGCCATGTGCTTATCCATGGCGGACCTGAGCCTGTGTGTTAGTTTTCTACTGCTGCGTATCAAATTGCCAGAAACTTAGTGGCATAAAACAGCAGCCATTTTTTATACACCGTTCTGTATGTCAGCTGTCCAGGTGTGGTGTGGATGGATTCTCTGATCAGGGTTTTGCAAACTTGTGCTCTCATCTGGAACTCAGGATTCTCCTCCAAGCTCCTACAGAGGTATTTGCAGAATTCTGTTTCTTGCAGGTGTAGTCCTGACATCCTCATTTCCTTACTAGATGTCAGGGAGGAGGTCCTCCCAACTCCTGTTGGCCACCAGCATTCCTTGCCATGTTGCCCCTCCTTCTTCAAGCCCATAGTGTAGACCCTCCCTCACATTGAACCCCTATCACACTTTGAATCTCTTTGCTCAGGAAGAGCCCAGTTTTTAAGGGCTCACCTGATTCGATAATCTTTCTGTTTTAAGGTCAACTGATTTGGACCTTTCTTACATCTGCAAAATCTCTTCACAGCAGCAGGTCCATTGGTGTTGGATTGAATAACTAGGGGAAGATGAAGAACCAGAAGATGAATTCGTATTATGGGGGCCATCTTGGAATCCAGTCAGCATGGTCTGGTGTTTCCTTTTGTGTTTTATTTGGTTACAATTGGAAATAGAAGTTCAAGTAAATAGATTATTGTGATTGGTAATAAAATACAGGCTGTCAACTTAGCCTTGAAATTATTCTTAAATTTGAAAATCAAGTAATGGTACGTTTAATGTCTCATAGCTAATTTAGAGCAAATCAAAATTAACGTGCAATAATTACTTACCCTCTTTGGACACAGTGTTAGTTATCTGCTTTTGCCTAACAAATTCCCCAAAACTTAGAAACTAAAGGCAATAAACATTTTTCTTCCAGTTTCCAAGGGTCAGTAATCAGGGAAGTTTACCTGAGTGTTTGTGGCTGAGCACTTCTCACGAAGTTATAGCCGAGACGTCGGCCAGGGCTGCATCATCTGAAGGCTTGGCTGGGGCTGGGGCTGGGGCTGCGGCATCCCCATCTGATATGGCCCATTCATGGCTGTTGAGAGAGGCCTCAGTTCCTCAATGGCTGGTCCCAGGAGGCTTGTGATACAGCAGCTGGCTTCCACCAGAGCAAGTGATCTGAGAGACAGACCAAGATGGAAATCACAATGTGTTTTGTCTCCTAGACTCAGAGATAAAACTCTATTCCTAAGACCAGTCTACACTTAAGAGGAGAGAATTAAGCTCCACCTTTTGATGGGAAGAGGATCAAAGAATTATATGTTAAAACCAAAATTAAAATTAAGTATCATTTCAGGATTTTGTAAATCAAATGCTGCTTTTTATCTAATTATTGTTCTTTACTGCTTCACGTTTAAAAAAAAGTAATGATTAAAAGTTTGAAACAGACAAGAGAGAGACAGATATTTCATTCTTCTTGAAAATGCCTTTATTAATATTTTCTTCATTAATTTACAACAATGTTGAAAATGTAGAGTAGCTAGAGTAAATGGCTTGGGTGCCATAACAATAATGCTTTTAAGATAATAACTATCTTTGTTTTTTTCTTGAACTTTTAAAATTAGATTGTTAAGAATGCAAAAAATATTAGCTAATAAGTGACAATTTTCACATTCAAGTATCATCTTCAAAAATATTTGCCTAATGAGATTGATTTTCAGCCAGAAAAATGTGAAGTTCATACCTCAGTGTGTGCACCTACCTTAGTATCACAGTGACACTTCGGATGTGAGGTGGTTGGCAAAAAGGTGAACTCCAATCTAGGAACCAAATGTTTTCAAACACCTGACTATTGATCAGGCATTCTATAATCTAATGTCTTTCACCGTGATTTTCAATGTGATTTACTAGAAGTGATTTAGACACCGGAGTGATTCTAAAAAGCAATCTTATTATGTGCTTTTAGAATTTTTTAAAGCAGTTCTATGCATTTGCCATTTGTACTTGCTAGGCTATCATTGGTTATTTATTATTTTTTCC